AATAAATGGATTTTTCAACTGTGACACCACTGAGCTAACAATTGAGTTGGCTTTACTGTGGTTCTTAGCAGGTAAAGCCTAGGGCAGTGAAGGTTTGGGGACCCAGAGTAATGGAACAGTGAGGCTATTCTGAGAAATGAGGCCAGATGGACAGACCAAAACTGAAGTCATTACAGCTTAACTTTCAATTCGGAGTTTGGGAAAGAGAAGAAGATGTGGGATAATTTAAATATAATCAAAAGGTCAGCAATTCCAATTCACCAGCCACTCCTTGAAAACCCTATGGAACAGTTCTACTCTGTCCTATGGGGTCACTATGAGTCAGAATTGACTCGACAGCAAGGAGTTATATGTGTGTGTGTGTGTGTGTGTATATATATATATAAAGCTTTACTTATTCAAGTAGTACGTGCCACTAAATAAAGATAACACATTAAAATCAGTTGCCATGGAGTTGACTCTGACTCATGATGATCCCATGTACGTCAGAGTAGAACTGTGCTCCTTAAGGTTTTCAATGGATGATTTTTTGGAAGTAGATTCTCAGGCCTTTCTTCTGAGACACCTCTGGGTAGGCTTGACCCTCCATCCTTCCTGTTAGCAGCTAAGCACGTTGACCATTTCCACCACCCAGGGCCTCTGATAACATACCACACTTGTAAAAATGCCTTAACATACAAATACTCCTTTAATCTACTTCCTTGTAACACGTAATATAACAGAAAACCAAATTTCCCGTTAGACTAGGTGATTTTATTCACCTTTAGTGGATCCAAAATATTTTAAAATAATTTCAACACTTGTTTCTTCCATCAAGTTAAATATAATTCTATACACGTTAATTTAAAAGTAATTTTATATTTTGGATGTGGCCACATTTTCTCCGGGTGGGTAAATATATATTGTAACACCAAACTTGGTCTTCCCTGTGTCTCCTAACTAAAATGCTGAGAGCTCCACTCTGCTCCGGTCCCTTTCCCACGGGAGACGTTTCTTTTCAGCCCTCTACGAGCAGTCGTGCGAGGCCTACAAGCACAAGGGCTACTCCTCTGGGTTCTACCACATCGACCCCGATGGCAGCGGCCCCCTGGAGCCCTTCCTGGTATTTTGTAACATAACTGGTGAGTTAAAATGTTTTACTTGAGTTCAACTTGAACACTCTTATTAAACATGAAGGTAGGAATCTACTTGGTTGGCAGCTTTATTAGGATAAGGTTAATTATTCAATAAAAGTATTTGGCATAATTCTTTTTTAAAAAGTTCAAACAAAAATAATTACGTCATTTGCATACATGTGTTCTATGGAACATTTAATAACAA